TGTAATAAAAAAGCTTTTTTAAAGTTTCCCGTAAGAATCTGATGATTTCCAACATGGCTGGAAACTACTGATGGTATTTATTTTTCTAGTTTCAGTCGCTTTGCTTGTCATAATGTGCCCTGGTTCCACTTTTCTTACCTTTTTCAGCAAGACTGGGAGTGGAATTACTGAATTATAGGTGGATGGGCAGTTGGTGGAGACCTTTGCCAGTGGAGCTGTTATGCACCCACTGTGTTCAGGTGGCACCGGCAGGGGAGGAACAACCCCTTTCCTCTGCTCCTGCTCTTGGAAATAATAAGTGTGAAGATTCAAGGCTGTCTAGCTTTCTGACTTAACCTGTAGAGAGACACATTGCTCGAGGGATTTGAAGACTTGAGCTATCAATGGAATGTGGTTTAGTTTATTGAGAATACTAAATTATTTAAAAAGCTGTCATCCTCCTAAGTTAGAAAATTATAGAATTTGATAAGTTTGCAAACATTTGTTTACATAAACGTGTAAAAATTGTTGATTAGTTTTATGCATGAGTACTTCCAAGCTTTTATTAGTAGCCAGCTGGTTATAGATTTTACAACTTTTAAAATTACCTAAATGTTAAATTAATTTTCACTTTTAATTTTATAAATTAATTATATAAGTAATATAGTCTCACTAGGGGAAAAAAGTTCCAACATTTAAAGCAAAGTGTCCCACTAATCTACTTGTATTATATTTTCACATCTTTTTCTATTCATTTATATACATGATAATTTACAATATGTGGTTTTGTCACTATTGCAGAAAAAGCATAATTGGCATCATGGATGTTCTGCAGCTTTATTAAAATGTCTTAGAGTTCATTCTGTGCCAGTATACATAGATCTGCCTCAATCTTTTTCACTACTGCATTGTATTTCATAGTCTACCAGTTTATTTAAATGTTTCAAGTGTCAGAAGCTCTAAAATGGGACTTGGTAATTATCAATGTACTGTCGCATTTAGTCCCATTGTTTACCTATGGCAGGAATAAGTTTTATGAAGAATGTGTACTTGATACATGACAGTATTTAATAAGAAACCTCTCCCGTTGTGGCAACATGGGAGGTTTTTTGGTTTTGTTTTGTTTTTTCTGATTGTTTCTTCGTATGTGTGCAAACTACTGCCTCCAGATCTCTGCCTTCGTAAAACTTCTGAAATTGCTAAATAAAATTTAAGATATTTGGAACATATAGTAATCTTTGCTGGAAGCTTTTATATAAATACAGAAAGCTGCCAGCATATTTTTAGAAAAGTAACTACACTTTGAAACCAAAATCACATATTTTGAAGAATGAACCCAAATAGAATATACCATTAGATAAGTGAGTATAAAACTCCAGCAGAGGGATTGGCATGGGGATTTTTCACCTACCCCCATCTTTGCTAGGTGAAAATATTGAGTCCAAGAGGCTTCACTTGATGGAAGAGATGAGCTTCCATTGTTTCATCAACTGATGAAAACTGAGCTGTAGTGGAAATGGATGTATGTATGTGTGTATTTTAAAGGCCTGTATCCTTTGCTACAGCAGTTCTTCCTCCAGAAGTTTGTTACAGACATCCTGGTACAACTGCACAGTTTAGTACAAGAATGTTACTTGTAGCACTGTTTTTAATAGTGAAAAGCTGGAATAGTAAAAATATGCAGGAATTATGGCTCTATGTACTGACATGAAAGGTCTCCAACATTGTTATGTGAAAAAAGAAGCAAAGTGCAGGACAATTTTTCTGGTGAAAATCCCTTTCAATGGTAAATAAACTGAGAAAATATATATATACTGTTCATTGCTTGTACATAACTAGCTCCATACGTCTATCTACATTGCTTAGATAGCTATAATTTTTAGAAAACATGCACACAGAACTCATAACTGATTGCTTTTAGGAGTAGAGTTGGGGAAGGACGACTTTAACTTAATTTTTATACGCTTTTGTACTTCTTAAAAATTATGTTAACTCTTAGTAAAATAGCTTTACAAAACATTGATTGTCAAATTTTTAGCTTCAGTATTCTGGAGACAGGGACTTGTTACAAATTTAGTTGTTGGCAGTTGCCAGCTTCTGTGGCTTTTCTGCTTGTTCATAAACAAATTGAGTAATTTTCAGAAGCATAAGCATTTGTAGACCACAATACTGCAGTGTACTTTTTTAGCCCTGTCAGTGTGACCTTGCTTTTATCAGTGATGTAACTATTCAACAGTTGAAAATGAATATAAAATAATTAAAATGCTCAAGGTGAGGCAAACAGATTATGGAATAGTAGTTACTTCTGGAAACTCAAGAATATTCTTGTCTTAAATTTGGTAAACTGTTTATTAAAGTACCTGAGTGAAAAAGCTTGATGGGCTTTCGAGAGCCTCACATTTAGTTATTTTTTAATGTTATTTTGTGTCTTTCTCACTTTTTTTGATATTTAAAAGTTTCCATTATTCCACAGCAGTTCTCAAACAGAAACTTGATTTTTAATAAATAACAGCTATTTGGCAGTATAGCTACCTTTAAGTTGTTGTATACTAAGAAATCTTATAATTTCTGTTTTGATCCTTTATCTCACTGGGTTGTCAGGAGGGTTGTACTTCAGTCTCTACTAAGGTTCTGTCTACCCAGTCCCAGATGGGGTTAGGGTTCTAGATGCTGACACTGTGCCAGGGTATTGGGATGGGGTGCAATCTAGTCCTCAACACATTTGCTGAAATGAGTTACCTCTGAAACATCTTGCATTCTGCTCAGGATGGCCTTTCAGATGTAGTACCTTCCAGCCACGTGACTAGCTGCTGTTTCTGTGCCCTGCTTAGGGCAGAGGCATTTGGAAGCTTGGCTCTAGGCCCACCTGCCAAGATACTGTACAGCTATGATCCCTCTCTGGTGTTGTGTGGCCTCTTCTGCATGGCTCTGACAGGAAGCCCCAGCAGCAGTAGTCCCACCCTGTATACACACACAAGTGCAAACGTACACACACAACACACTTTTTTCAAACCAGGGGAATCTTTCTTGCCTGTAGGGAAAGCCCTCATTCTCTTTCTCCCTGTTCTACACAAAAATTTTATCTGTACCCCAATCAACTTAATTGTCCTTAGTGTCTATTCAAGGCATTTTGTGTTTATCTATCCTCCTGTTTCTGTCTTTTCTAGTTCCCCTAATTATTTTGCAACATAAAAACCAAAGAGATGCTTGGGCTATTTCTCATTTCTTCTTTGCCACATCCTTCTTCTGGGACAGGAAACACAGAGTCTGTTATCTCTTTAAAAGGGGGTAAGGAAAAGGGAAATATCAGGAGAAAAAATTAGGTTAATCTTTCAAAAATACTTTGCTACAGTTTTTCTTAATGCTCAATTGCCCTGAGATTGTCTTTTAGCAGTTTTATCAGTCTGTTACCAGCTTTCAGATGGTTTGAAAACAGTCCAATCACGTATTTCTTTTTTTTTTTTAAAGATTTTATTTTTTCCTTTTTCTCCCCAAAGCCCCCCCCCCCGGTACATAGTTGTGTATTCTTCGTTGTGGGTTCTTCTAGTTGTGGCATGTGGGACGCTGCCTCAGCGTGGTCTGATGAGCAGTGCCATGTCCGCGCCCAGGATTCGAACCAACGAAACACTGGGCCGCCTGCAGCGGAGCTCTCAAACTTAACCACTCGGCCACGGGGCCAGCCCCCAATCACGTATTTCTTACCTGCTTCTTGCTAAAATAAAGGCACCTGTGGTTGTGCATTTTGTGCGGCTGGGAAATATGGTAATTCTTAGGTCATTCTCCACTGTGGGGTCCTCAGCCTTTCCTTCCTCCCTGTACTACTGAGGCTTGGGGCACACACTCATCAGTAGTGGTGGCTTAGTGAACTGTCTTAATGAGGCAGTTTGAATGCGTATCTAAAAACCTTCAAATTAATTTATTTGCTCTGTTGTCACTTTGTTTATTTCCCCTATTCTTCCACATTTCAACCCTTTCCCCTTTTCTTGAGTCCCGTATAGAACTATGCTTTTGACTTGATTTCTTTGAGAAAATGCAGTTCCAATCTGACCAGAAATAAAATCTAGCATCCCAGTCCATTTATAAATTGAGAATTAACTTTTGTTCATATACTTAGCTAGGTTAAAGAATCAGATTGGAGGGCCGGCCCCATGGCCAAGTGGTTAAAGTTCCTCATACTCCACTTTGGCGACCTGGATTCGCGAGTTCAAATCCTGGGTGTGGACCTACTCCACTCGTCAGCCATGCTGTGGAGGCATCCCACATACAGAGTCGAAGAAGATTGGCACAGATGTCAGTTCAGGGCGAATCTGCCTCACCCAAAAGAGAAAATAATGAGATTAGGTTTAAAACGTTTGTAGGAAAGCTGTAAAGAATAGACACTCTAAAGTTGATTCATATGTCAAAAGTGCATGGTATGGTGCCAGCTCCAGTGGCATGGTGGTGAAGTTCAGTGTACTCCACTTTGGCATCCTGGTTCAGTTCCCAGTCGTGGACCTACACTGCTCTGTTAGTGGCCATGCTGTGCTGGCAGCCCACATAACTAAAAAATAGAGAAAGATTGGCATGGATGTTAGCTAAGGGCAAATCTTCCTCAGCAAAAAAAAAAAGCATGGTATGGAAAGAAAGGAATCACTTAGTACTAAGTAATGAAAGTCAGCAAGCTCTGATTCACAAGGGTAAATGAAAAATGTGAAGATGTTTTTAACAATGAGGTGTTTTAACCATTTTTCTATAGTTGAATTTTATAAAACTGAAGAATTATATTCTTATGTTTAATTTGTACTCTTTTCACATATTAAATTATAATTGATTTGAAGTATTCGTTGATGTGACTTCTCATTGTGCTTTAGTATTTTATGCTTCTACATAGGATAGCTTATACTAAGCTCAAATCTCCTATCATTTGCATATAATTCAGGAGATCAGAAATACACATGATCTTTTTTGAAGATGACAATACTGGTTCAATTTAAATTGCTTTGATGTTAATAATTCAGGTTTTTCCCCCTCTTCCCATTAAGGATTCTGGACGCTACTTATAATATCCCTAACTGCCGGATTCTCCTGCTGCAGCTTTTCTTGGACGGTGACTTACTTTGATTCTTTTGAACCAGGAATGTTTCCTCCTACTCCTCTTTCACCTGCCAGGTTCAAGTAAGTATTCCTGTTTCCTCTTGTTTATTTTTTAACCCATCCCAGCTCTGTCGAAAATAGTAAAATAGAAGCAAGAGGCTGCTTATTTGTAAGATAATATGTTGAGACCCGAGACCGCAGTCTTTAATCTGTAAAATACCAAATGACACAAGGTTTTCAGCTTGGCTTAGCCTTTAGATAAATGGAAAATATTTAAAATTCCATGTGTAGATAATGCAATGGTTTTTTAAAAATTTGAAATTCAAGAAATGATCTAAGAAGTAATTTGTTCTTTTGGGATGGAATTTCATTTAAAACAGTTTATGAAGGTTACTTTAATATCAGCAATGTGGAAGTTTCACAAGATTCATGTATAAATGGTCAGACTTTATTACAGCTTAATAATTGGATTGGATTTTTCCTCAGATTTAAATTTTTGTGATAATTAGCAAGGATTTATGGCACCCAGTCTATATGTCTAGCGTAGATTTGATGCATTTCATAGTGGAACAATAATAATTTCTTTGGTCTGTATTTTCTGTGTTTCAAAGAGTTTCAGAAGTTCAGTAGGTTGTGTCCTAATCTAGGAAAGGTAAGGTTTTAAATATAAATTTCCATATAGAGCGTCTACCTCTGGTGTCTTCTACAAACTGGGGGGAAAGGATGAAGAGTAGAAAATAAATTATTAAAGATCTGTGTATTCTCAGAGTGTTATAGTTGTTACTGTTGTTATTACTACCAGCTCCAGCTTAGTTCATGGACAGCTTGTAGAGATAAAATAAGAAAATCTATTTGAGGGACTCTATAAATATGCAGTTTAATACTAATGATAGTTATTAATAATCATTGTTACAACTGGCCTCCATTATTAGTAAACTCATAAAATTTTCTGTCTTATAAATATATCTTTAAAAATTTTGGCTTCACTTCAAATGAAAGGTGTGTGTCCAAATCATATACTTGCCAATAAATTTTGTGTGTGTATTTGAGGTGGATAATGATTAATTAATAATCCAATTGACCAAGTTATACTTAACAATGCAGTACTGTCCCATAGTTTACATGGCTACCATTCAGTTGGAAAGTTTATTTTGCTAAGTGATAGAGTGTTCAGCTCAAATTTGTATTGTTGCTCCCTGTTGACATCAATTACTTTAACACGGGGTATGAGTCTAATATGGATAATATACTGAGACTCCTTTCATAAATCACAAAAAAACTTAATCTCATTTGTTTCTTTTACTTATTTATATCTCACCTCTCCCCTGAATTCCAGCCCTACATTTCCAGCTATTTAGTAGATCTTGCAACCTGAAGTTTAGAAAGCATCTTGCACTTAGAATTATTAAAACTCTTGTCTGTCTTAAAGACATCAGTATCCACCCACTTATCAAGGATTGAAACTCTTATTCACTATATTTATCCCTTCAGCAAGTCCAGTCATTTCTGCCTTTTGAAATGTTAGTGGAGTATTTTGTCTTTGCACCCCCAGTGTTTTTGCCCTATTTAGGGCCTTGGCCAGCATACTTGACTCCCTGGTCTCCCCTACTCCAAGCTGTCACTCTTCTGATTTGTCCAGTATATTGTTACCTTTCTAGAAATAGATCTTAGTCACAGCTTTCCCTTGTTTGAAAGTCTTCAGTGGCTTTCCCACTGCCTTAAAAATAAAGTCCCAATTCCCAAGTACAGCATAGCAATCCTTCCCCAAGTGACCCTGCTCTGCTTTTCCAACTTTACCTTCAGCTATTTTTCCAAAGCACCCTATACTGTAGCCACATATCAGATTACCTTGGCATCCCCCAAATAAACTACATACTTCAAAAAAAATTATTATTTTTTTGGTGAGGAAGATTGTCCCTTAGCTAACATCTGTTGCCAATCTTCCTCTTTTTTGCTTGAGGAAGATTGTCACTGAGCTAACGTCTGTGCCAGTCTTCCTCTATTTCGTATCAGGGATGCTGTCACAGCATGCTTGATGAACTGTGCGCAGGCGTGTGCCCAGGATCCAAACCTGTGAACCGTGGGCCGCCGAAGCGGAACCTGCAAACTTAACCACTGTGCCACCATGCTGCACCCTAAACTGCATACTTTTGAGATGCCACGACTTCACCCTTGCTGCTGTTCTCTCTTCCTAGAATGTCACTTTCCCTCTCAGCTTCTCTTCCACCGCTGCCAGAATTCATAAGCGTCATAGATGTTAGAAACTTTTGGAATTTTCTAGAGAAAAGCATTTCAGTGTTCTCTTAAAGATCTGGAATTCTGAAGGCATTTAACTAATTTCTTAAAAATTAGCTTTGGATGGCTGGCCCCTTAACGGAGTGGTTAAGTTTGCACGATCTGCTTTGGTGGCCCAGGGTTTCGCCAGTTCGAATCCTGGGTGTGGACGTGGCACCGCTCGTCAAGCCATGCTGAGGCGGTGTCCCATCTGCCACAACTAGAAGGACACACAACTAAATATACACAACTATGTACCGGGGGGCTTTGGCAAGAAAAAAGGAAATAAAATCTTTAAAAAAAAAAAAATTACCTTTGCATTATTTTAAGCTGGAAGCAGTAGTGGTGGACCTCAATTTTCAATGTGTTTATTAGTCATTCAGTTTTATCATGAGATAGTGTCAGATCAGAAACTTAGATTACATATTTGTTAATACAGCCTTAAAAATACAATTTTGAAATATATACATTATATTGCGTATATATTTGAATTCCTTTCAATATGTAGATAGGGATAAGTTAATTTTACATATGATAAATCAGCTATTAAATATCTCATGGAATCAAACTATAATTTAAAATTGTATGTTAATAGAAGCACAGTCCAAAAGAGACATATAATAAATATAGTGATAGTTGATCACATATTAACAGAAACCACCGACCAAAAAAAGGCATTTTGTGTAGTGGTAATTGATGAAATTGAGTTTTATAGTGAAAACTCTGCCCTCTAGTGCTTGTAGAAAATAATGCAATTACTTCAAGAGATAATCAGAAAAAGTATATTCTCTCTGTCACCAGTAGAGTGAGTGCTTATACAGGGAAACAACTTCTCTACCTTTTGAAAAAGCTGAAGTCTTTTCAGACTTTATTTTCTTAGAAATCAGGTTGATGTATTTTATTAATTTGTAGCATCAGACTTTCATAAAAATATCTTTGTAACAATTTATATACTCTTCTTACCTAAAGTAAAGCATGATGTTAATACAAATATTTTTCGGGGCTGGCCCCGTGGCCGAGTGGTTAGGTTCTCGCGCACCTCTGTAGGCGGCCCAGTGTTTTGTTGGTTCGAGTCCTGGGTGCGGACATGGCGCACTGCTCATCAAGCCACACTGAGGCAGCGTCCCACATGCCACAGCTGGGAGGACCCACAGCTAAGAATGTACCACTATGTACCGGGGGGCTTTGGGGAGAAAAAGGAAAAAATAAAATCTTTAAAAAATATATATATATTTTTCCTGATTTTATAAAAGTAATACAAGTTTTGTTGAAAATTCAAAAAGAAAAATAATCGAAAAAGCCATAATTAGAGAAAGTGACTGCCAATGTTTTAATGTATATTTTTCCATTCTTTGCACATTTTAAAAATTAAAATTAAGATCACAATATACATGTTGTTTTGTAATCCATTTTTTATTTATCATTATATTGGAACATTTTTCCGTTCAGTATTTCTTTTGAATTTTCAATGTTTTGAATACCAGTCATTATATATGACCAATCATTGTCTCAATTTAGTTTTTAAAAGGGAAATCTAATATAAATGGTAGCTGGATTCTAAAATAATTTATCAAACAGGGATCTGTTTAACTATTTAGAAACTAAAGAAAGGCAAGATAATTAAAACATCATAAAATGAAAGACTTTCTAAGATTAGGATTGTTATTAAAAATATTCCCTGTTTCCAGCTCCATGACTATCAAACATAGAGTAAAATAATCCTGTCTAATTGGTGTCTTAAAAAAATCTTTTGCTCTCTTTTGCAGCCTTAAACACATGGGCTTTATTTTTTTTAGCAAACTAATTAGTGGAAGTAGAAAACAAATTAAAAAGACCATGTTTACTATAGCTATCAATTAGTTGTGTTTCCCTAGAAACGTATAAACTCCTTGAGGGAATAAAAAAATAAGCTTTATTGATGGTTAGTAAATATTAGATGAAACATTTAATGAAATTAGAATTTGGATCAATAATTCATTAGAGGAGTTAAAATTTTTTTCATACTTCTATATTTGTTAGCTATTATCTTAGTTTAGGCTGCTATAACAAAGTGTCATAAACTAGGTGGCTTATAAACAACAGAAATTTATATCTTTTCCAGTTCTAGAGACTGGAAGTCCAAGATCAGGGTGCCAGCATGGTCAGGTTCTGGTGTGGGCTGTCTTCTGGGTTGCACATGGCCTTCTTCTCATTGTTTCCTCACGAGGCAGAGCAGAGAGAGGAAGCAAGCTCTTTGTGACTCTTATAAGGGCGCTAATCCCATTCATGAGGGCTCAACTCTCAGACTTCGTCTAATCCTTATTACCTCCCAAAGGCCCCACCTCCTAGTACCATCACACTGCAGGGTAAGGTTTCGACATATGAATTGGGGAGCGGGGAAGGGGGGTCGACACAAACATAATCCATAACAGCTATAGCTTAGAAACTTTCACTTTTAAATAAGCACAAGACCTTTAAGAAATACAAGATAGTTAAATAACTTTGCAAAGTATATTTTCAGACAGGTACTTAATGGACTTCAAAAGGCATATTTTTAAGAAAAGTGGTCATGCTGACTTACTTTGCAAACTTTGCTGAGTTAAAAGGTATACTGCAATGTCATATATACAAACTTCTCTGTTGGGAAGCAGTCATTTTTTTGGTGTTTTTGGATCAATTACACTTTTAAATTATTGTCTTAGTTATTTCTGAAAATCTGTTATAGTGTTAAAGAACAAGAGGCAGAGGCAGTAATTTTAGATTCGTTGTAGTATCTATGTAGGCATTCCCCACTTCTCATTAGTTTTCCTTCTTCATTCATTGGGTCT